GTGGGTCTTCTGGAACTGCGAGTTCCCATGGATGGTCTTGGTCGCCATGATGATAAACTCAGCCGCTCACCCTGTTCGTTCCATTCTAATTCGTGGACCCTAATGTGACGTTCTTCAGATGTTCTTCTTGGTCCAATCTCGGTGTTGAAATCTCCAGTGATGATCTTGAAGAATATATGGTTTTCTCTGTAGAGCGTCTCCAAGTCCGTATAGAACGCTTCGACTTCTTCTTCGTCATAGTTTGATGTCGGCGCGTAAACGACAAAGATTGTCAAAGCCGGAATTGATCCATGTCTTTTTAATCGTAAACGTCCGATTCGGCTTGTAAGTTGTTCGAATGAATCGATGTTCATGGACAAACTCGTGTTAACGAGAACGCCGACGCCTCCGGCTCCTCTACTGTCGCATGTTCCGAAGAACAGTACTTCTCCGGTGTCATAGACAGCGTTGAAAGGCTGGCATCTTCTCGTCTCGGCTAGGCCGATGACATCGTTCCTTATTCTTCTTGCTTGCATGAACAAGTCTTTTATCGAGGACTCGGATGCAAATGTACGTGCATTGTAGGTACAGATCGTCACCGTCGTTCTTTGAAACCCAGGCAGTTTCCATTACCCCTGAGATTTTAGCAGCTTCTCCGTACTCGTCCTACCCAACGCTGCGAAATTGGGGGCTCTTTTGGATCAGAGGAATGAGGCTCGTTTCTTTTACTGTTTTTAGCTTTTTTGATACCCACGTATAGCTTGTTGGGCTCTGAACGTGGGGGTGGGTATTCACACGGGTAGCTTGCCGGTCTGTCCCAGAGTGGGCATGGAACTTACTTGTTGCGGGTGACTCCTAACCGCTTCCTATGTACTTTGCTGTCACTTGGTTGCAGGCTTTTGGCCGAATAGACTCGTGTAATACAATCCGCACGAGACGAGAACACACCCACGCATGCATCCGTGAGTCGTAAATACCGAAAGGATTTGCTAAAGCGGTGCAGCAGAAAGCGGGAGTCCATTCCCTGGATCCACCTGCGTCTCAAGGAAACAAAGGTCGCTTTTGGTCCGTTATTAAGCCCCTGTCCGCCACCTGGGGACGCGTCACGTAGCCTCTCGACTAGCTGGCTCGAGATCCCTCATGTGAGGGAGATCCTTGTCATCACTTATGTCACACTGTGTGGATACCAGCACTTGCATTCGATTCATCTCATCGCATCCGTCATCTACGGATGTCCGCCAACTATCTGTGTTTGGATTTGGCTGTTGGTTGAGAATTTTCCTGTCTTGGTCACCATTATCATTAAATGCTGATTGAATCGATTCTTATTGTAATCTTGATAGCCTTCGGTAGGGCGTTCTTACATTGATTACAAAGAGTGAGTTTATTCCAAGCAAGTCTACCACCTACTTTCACACCGCGGAGGAATGAGAGGCTTTGTGGACCCTTGACGGAGTTGGAACGGTGCCAGTTGGGCTTTGATGTTGGCAAACTCAGCGGAATCACTAACACCATGTTACACGTCCATCATACAGTGAGAATGTTAGTAATAAGTATGTGGTGTTATGAATCTTAAAAGCGAAGGTTGTAATCGGGAGCTGTTTTCAGTTCTATATGTGTTCTAGAAACCAGACGGAGGCTTGACAAAATACGTGGATAGTGTGATCATATAGCACGTAAAGAGCAAGTAGAGTACCAAACATTTGTTACAAGGATTTTTATTGATTCGGAACTATTTTCGCATCTAGGTGGCCGATCAACTCCTTGTGATAATTTAACAATGCCTGAATCAAGCACTCGTTCACCTGTGATGCCTAAAGAGAGAGAGGTTTTTTGCGCTATTTTTCAACGTTTGCAACGTTATGGTAACTAACATCTTTACTTTTTTTACTTTTCAGATGGATCTGCAATCTAAGTCTAGTAACACAATTGATCCCAACCAATTTGTTGAAGAACTCAGCGATAGCGAAGATTGGGACGAGGTGGTTTTCCACCCAAGCTTACCGTTCTTTCACAGAGTTTATCCTTACTTCAATCTTTTCAGATAGCGCAGCTAGTTTGTAACCCGAAATTGAAACGGCCGTTGGATTGCTCCTCGGAACAACCACGTAATCTCCTGTGTATGTGTGTTTAACAATTCAAGGTGACCGATTTTCTTTAATTTAGGTAAACGCTGCTTACTTGATATCCCTCCCGATCTCTCACCGTCGTATAATGGTGTTGGGAAATCTCCACATCTCCAATATGATAGATCTGCAACTGCATCAGCTAGCCGCGAACTACATTCAGTGGAGCGAAAACCACAGTCGCCGCGTTCATCCATCGAAGAGGTTCATCCTTACACTGATTCATGATTTTAATACGTTAGCAGATATGAATCGATTTCCGGTGGTAGATGACCGAACCTAGCTGGGTCCCTTAAGTTCGAGTAAGCGTCTCATTTTATTGCGAACTTTATCAGTTGAAATCAAATACGTTAGAAACCACGGGCATTTACCACAGCGATGTCAGATTTTTTTATAAATACCGTAATTCAGTTTTGATTTGGAATCCAGGGGTTTTTTTTAATCTCTTCTTCTTTTTGTCGAGCTTGTGTTTCGAACAGCGGACAGCGTGAACAGCAAGGGTTTTATGATACAACTGTATTAAGAGATTCTGAGGTTTGGTTTTGAAACCAGATTAAAACATTTGTAAAAGTTGTACCACTACTCGATAGTGTTATGTACTGGACCGTAGTTGTAAGATATGTTTGCCTTCTTAGTTTTTTCTTTCAGTTCCAGAAATCATATTTCCGCATAGAATATCCAAGTATGCAACAAGGAACATACTTGAGTCAACCACCGTAGGTTTTATAAAATATAGCTTGAAAATGTTTACATCATTAGAATTATTAGGAAATCGTTTGTAAATCTATTCCTTAGGTATGCCCATTGGGGCCATAGAGGGAACGAATCATCTAGAGGTGCATCAGAATCTTTCAGAATGGCGGACTGTCACAAAGATCGTATTGGCTTCGCCACGTCACAGCCCAGAGGTAAGATAAACTGTTCTGAATAGGAATAAGGTTCCGTTCAAGTATCAAGTAAGTATAGCTGGATGTATAAAAGAACTCGTTTTAAACGTTGCGTTGCAGTTTGCGCCTGTAGAAGAGTAAATTAGTGGAATCAAGAATTGTAGGATGTAAAGTGGAGTTTTTTAAATCAAAAAGTGTACAACACCAGTGGAGGTATAGGGATAGGATTTAAAGCTGTGTATATACGCAGTAGTTCTATTTTTACATAGGGGTAGATGTAGTAGAGTGGTTAGTGGCACAGTCAATCAGGAAGCACGGTGCTGGTTCGACCTCCTCTCTAACACTCTCCAATCCACGTGCGAACGCGTTAGTTCGGAAAGCCCCGAGGTTGCATGGAGAATAAAATCGTGCTGAAACATGCGAAATGTTTGGAGATCTTTGTGCGCTATGATTGCGAAAAAAAGCAATGTGACGCAAGAATGCTGGGATCCAGGCAGTAGATGTGTTGGCGAATCGTGTAGTAAATAAATAGAGTAAGTCTATAAAATATTAAATCCAATAAAATAATAAATAATTGTAAAATGAGTAAATAAAAATAACAAGTAAACAACAACACAAAGTAATAAACAACAAATAAAACAATAAATATACTGATAAAATGAAAAATAATTTTATACAGGGGTCATCAGTGGTCGACCATTTTGTCGCGACGATAAACTACCCCTAGTTTCGGACTTCATTTTGGGAGAACAGCTCGTATTTGGAACTCTTTGTGAGATTCAAATCATTCGCTTGGATACTTTGACGGCCCGTCCTCAATGGTAGTGCAGGCCCTAGTATAACCTCCACTTTTCTGAGTTCTCCTGATTTAGCCATTGTGTTTCCTTGGAGTGCCGTAGTGAGTCTGGCCAAAGTCTGCCCCAGATCGCAGCACCACTTGTGGCTCAGAGAGGGATTTGCCACCATGCGACTAGTTTGATACCTGGTTGGTGGTGGATCCTGGTATTGATTTACTCTCAACTGGGCTTCCTGGTGGAAACGCGAGGCTTCTTCTGAGCTTGGGAGATCTTGCTGGGAGGATGAATGCCCCTGCTGTACATCGCAGTCCAACCCAAGAACACCTCCCAGGCTCGATTAGGCGGTAAACCGTTAGAGGGTTTAATTATGCCGTTAGTGGAAATTGACAAAAGGTGATCGAGAAAAGATGTTCGCTGATATTTGATGTTGATTTTCATAATCACTATGAGAGACTTCATTCAAAATTATATGGTTTCCGCATGTGGTTGTAATAACCGAAGAACGTTTTTTTCACTTTCCGTAGTAACTATCCGTTGTGGTTCATAATCATAGACAAGACACGGTATGTTCGTTTCTCTATGAAAAAGAGTGGATGTTGTTACTTTTTCAGTCGGTCTTTCAGTCTCTAATATATCCACGCCAATTTTTACATTAATTACAGATCTTGACGGGAAAGGTCAACTTGACTGGTGGCGTCATTAGTTTGCGAAGCTTCAGAGGAGTGCGGGATGGGTATATGCTTGCTCGGGGCACAATTTTTTTTCGTTACCTTTTTTACAGTATGATTCTGTTAAATCTGAATACTTGGATTATTTGAAGTCATATTGTTATATGTTCTATTGTGTTATATGTTGTAAATAGAATTGTCTACATTTTTTCCTATGTTGTTGAACTGACTGAAGCTTTGTCTCAGTTATCCCTCTTTTCTTTAGTTCTAAGTTGTCGACCATAAACACCAGAAGTTCAGTTTTTATGATCGGGTGTTCATAATTCATGTTTTTTTTCCTTTCTATACTGTTTGAAGTTCCTCATTTTTAAAAATGTATTTGTGCTGGTCTTTCTCCAATAAACCTTGAGTTTACCTTTGTAGTTTATTTCTTTTGTGGGGCAATTTGTCCGTACAATTACTGGTATTTAAAGTTTACAGCTCATAGTTTTCGAATTAAACTTTTTTTCGAATTAGATTGAAGATATGCTAACGTGAATTTAGATGGTGCGCAGTGAAGACGAATTAGGAGAGAAGATTGATAGGTGAGGAGATATCGTTTCAGGTTCCAGTTCTCCATCAAAAATGTGTTATTACGGGTCTGTTTTGATATTTTACATGTTCTATTGTTTTAAGAAGAAAGGATATTCTGTAGTAATTCAAACAAGTTCTTTGCACAATATGCGATTTTTAGGTGTTTTGCGGATTCACTATTGAAAATAAGCGGTGGTATTGCTATCGGCATTGTTGCTAGTGTGGCCTTATTCAAGGTAATGGTTTACAAAGATCTGTGTCTTTCTAGGTAGATGTATTGTATTACTTGGATACTTAGATGGCTTGTCCTCACTGGTGGTGTGGGTCTTAGCATAATCTGTATTTTTCGGAGTTTTGCTGATTTAGTTATTGTGGTTTACTGGAGTCCTGAGGTCAAGTTTCTCCCAGGTCGTTACCACCACGGGCAGTCGATTGATGAATGTGGATCAGAGGGACATTTGCTGCCATGCGATTATTTTGGTACCAGGATAGTTGTAGATTCTGATGGTGGTTTACTCTTAGCTATGCTTCCTAATGGAGTCGAACACCTCAGCGTGGGAGACCCTGCTACGGGATGAATCCCACCGCTGTACATAGCAGTTCGACACCCAGGAACACCTCCCAGCGACGACGAGGAGGTCAGCCGTTGGAGGGCACTGTATTACCATTGTTAATAATCAGTGATAGTCCAGAGTAAGTGTAGAACAAGAACAGTGATGGATTATGCAAACCATTCTTGTATAGTTGTTGTTCTTCTGCATATCACAGCCGTGATACTTGTATTACTACATTTGTACGACTAGATGTTGGAGCAACTTATTTTTAATCGTTTAAGAGCAGATCGTGGCCTATATGGTTCGGATCAGGTGTGGGTGTGGGCACTGGTTGGTCGAATTGTCGTCACGATTTGGCGCAACCCTATTTACTACATGGAAAAAAAGTTCCAGTTGGGCAAGACATAGAAGTAGGTTGCAAACGCATTTTCTTCGTCTAAATTTAAATATATTTAGTGTCTTCCAGGGTAAAACTACATATGCAATTGTCAAGGAGAAGTAGGAGAACTCCGAATGGTTAGGCCTTAGAAAGCAATTAGACTACCTACGTTGCTAATTCGGCATACACCTTTCGTAAATTGTTTGGTGTTTGGTTCTTCATTGTTTGTTTTCAGTAGGTGTGTATAACTAGTGTAATTTCAGACAACGAGGAGAGTAAATCAATGTTATACTCTGGCTCCCTATCCTTGCTATTGTTGTGATAGATGCTTTTATATGTCTATAAACTAGGGAATTGTTCTAGGGAATTTTCGAGTACTTGTTAAAATTTCTTCGCCATCTTTTGCCCACTTCCAGAGGCGGTGAAGAGAGCACTCCATAGGCAACTATGTTGTAAATTTGGTAACGGTTTACTACTGAATTTGAGAATGTACTGCGTTGAATTCGTATTAAAGAATAGTTTTTTCATACGAGATTGGAATAGTGAGACTTGTGTGACTTGTTCTTTTAGGTTTTTAGAACAACATGCATGACCAATATTATGTCCAAATTTTTATTATTTTCAAATACGTCATTTTACCAATCAGATGTAAGAAAATGAGATTAATTAAAGCTGTACTGTTGGTAAGTACTTTGTACCGGTGTTCGATCAGAACTGTAAGAGTGAGCTGCGACATAAAGACCTGCCTAAATCTAGTGAACAAGTACTTTACGAGCAATGCTAGATAACGTTCGAGAGGGAATGAAATGTGTCCATTATTTACATAGTTTCGCATCAATGCCTTTCAGTGTCACAATTTTTTGTGTACTGTAGCGTAGTCGCCTAGAGCAATTAGACCAGCAAGCATCTCTTCGCCTAAAGGAAAATGTGAAAACTGACGATTTGAATCAGTGTATTCAATGTTCGAAGTAAAGGAGTGAGCGATTTCTTTGTATTATGAATGGAGCTATTCAGTACAGATTTGGTTAACACTATAAGGATAAAAAGGGACAAAGCTCTCAGGGTTGTTCAATCCCTAAGGGATGCGCCATGCATTCGACTTCACTAAGCATCGTTAGAGGTGGCTGAAGGCGTATATGTACGATGATTCACGGTGGCCTACCGATGTATCTACCCAGTGCTGCTATCCTCCCATACAAGTCGTACCAATTTGCTGACTCCGGGTGAATGGAAGGCTTGGTGAGCCTTGAGCTCGGGGATCGATCCCATGTGTACGACTACTGGGCTACATCCGCCGTTAGCACTATAACAACTATAACCACTATATAAGGTTAGCACTATAAACTTGCAGAAACTTCGTGACCAAAAGGTCAACGTTTAATCAGTTGAGAGTAACTTCACTACTAAAAAGGGAATTGAAATATAAGCTGTTAATCTGGTCTAGATGGTAAGGATATGTGCGATTATTTCTGTTTACTTTCTTTCTTGATATACTCACCGGTCGGTCTTATAAAGTTAGGCGGTAAACTAAAAGCGTAAGTGTCATAAGCGTCAAGCGGTCGAAGTTCAACGCCAAAGATATAGGGCACACCGCGATCCTGCATATAGTCGATACTGGTTCCCGATGCTGGATCTGTAATACTATGAATGATGATGAATGTAGGAATGCAATGGATTGGTCCCGGAATTTCAAAAATGAAACTATATAGTTTTATTTTTTGGGCGCTATCTCTGTAATTTGATCGCGGATTGGCTTGGATTACTCGTCAGTTATATGGGATAATCGTGCATTTCTAACGTAGAGAAGAAATAACTGACACATTAATTCAGCGATCGTACCATAATTGTAGATGGCTCCGGTAGCGTTTCTCATGGCTTTGACAGCAATACGAGCCGCGTTTCGCTAAAATTAAGAGGATGACAAAGAGTAGTGATAAAATGCGATAGGAGGATAGAAATATATATGTGATTGATTTCCTGAGTTTTCTAATATGGATTCATGACAATGATCTATAGACGGAAATGGTGATTTCGAAATGGACGGTGCATATTCCTCTGTGGTTTACCATTTCGTCGTCGTAAAATGTTTTCCTGCCAGCAAAACTTCTATGGCACCAAGAAGTTCATGCCTTAATGGAACCTTTAACCGTGGAAGGTTTGGAACTTCCATTTTCAGGTGTTCACAGAGACCATCGTGGTAATTGGTAACTCATCTTAGTAACTGTCGACAAGAATCTGGTAATGATGTGGCAAACAACCTGAGAAGTGAAAATATCATGATTTCCTTGATATGAACTTCTTGTTCCTGGGTCAGATTTTTGCTACGCTGACCTTGGGATTCCAGAGAACAACAACGGCTTAACCAGCAGATCTCCGAAAAATGGAGATTGTGCTGGGACCCGCACAGCCACTGAGGACGGGCCATTCAAGTATCAAGTAAGTAAGAACTAACTTCTTGTTACAAAACATGCACAAAAAAGAAGAGGTCAGAAGCCAGTGTTGTAGCCCACACAGAACAATCTCGTTCACGAAGACTGAAGGGAAAAGTTTTCGTAGTCACCAGAAATTTGTGTCGGACTGCTACAACTATTCTGCTACTCTGCTCTTCTTACCAATAGCAAAACAACCAGTAGGGAAAGCTCTCTGACAAGGCGACGTTGTATCATCAAAGCTGTTCATCTCCACAGTGAAGAAAATGCATATAGACAATTGAAAAGCTGCTGTAACCGTTCGTTTTTCGTCGCTTCTTGGAAAACACTTTTTATGAACGTCCGCACTTTTTCTAACTAATTCAGTTTAGGACTGAGGCGTGACCAACTGAACCGCCTCAGAAGTTCATTGCTTCCTCATGGTAAAGAAGTGTTGATGAGTGTAGTACATAGCTTGTCGCTGTTACACTCGCTTATGCAATCTAAGAACATGAATTTTTCTTCTTGATCTATAGTTGAGTAAAATTGTGCGAGAAAACAAAACCAAGCGAACCATTGTGACCACTTTCTCACACTTGAAAAGAGAAAAGAAATAAGTCCTCATGAGTGATGTTCTTCGTGTCTCACCAAGCTCATCGGCCAGTTATCACGTGGCAGATACTAATTTCTTCCCCTGGTCGAGAAGGTAGCTCGAACCGCATCCATATCATAGAAGGAAATCAAATGATAGACGAAAAGCTTCGTCTTTGACTCTCTGACTAAAGGGTTTTCCGGCGGTTTGGTTCTTCTGATCTGTTTTTTCTTGTCTCGGAGGATAGCAGCGCTGACTCGATATATCGGTAGGCCAACGCGAGTAAAGGCCATTGTAAAGGCCATATATGCATTCAGTCACCTCCAACGATATTTAATGAAGTCGAATGCATGACGTATCCCTCAGGAATTGGTCAACGCTGAGAGCTTTATTCTTTATTCTTCATCTATATTTACCACGGATCTCCCTCATATGAGTGATCTCTGGCCGGTTAGCCGCGGAGCTTCATGGCGCGTTCCCAGATTGCGGAAGAGGTTAATCGAGGACTAAAGGCGACCCTTGCTTCCATGAGACTCAGATGGATCCAGGGGATGGACTCCCTATTTCTGCCGGGCCAAGAACATACTTTCCATATTTACGAGGCGTATTCATGCATGCGTGTGTGGGTGCATTCTCGTTTATGCGGATTGTATTCTAGGAGTCAATTCGGCGGAAACCCTACAATCAAGTGACAGCGAAGTATATGGGAGGCGATTAGGAGTCTCCTCCAGCAAATAAGTTCCATCTCCTCTGTGGTAACAGGCAAGCTACCCGTGAGTTTACTGGGCGACCGGAGCTTAGCAAGCTATACGTTGGAATCAAAATGCTAAACACAGTAAAAGAAAGGGGCCTCATTCACCTGGCCCCCAAAGAGCCCCGATTCGGCAAAGTTTGGTAGGAAAAGTAGGGAGAAGCTACTAAAATTTCGACCATTCTAAGCTGCCTAATTCGCGGAGCACCAAGGTGACGATCTGTACCTACAATGAACGCACACTTGCATTCGAGTCCTCGATAAAAGACTTCATCATGCAAGCAAGAAGGATAAGGTGCGACGTCATCGGACTGGTCAAGACGAGATGACACCACCATTCAACACCGTGTAGGACACCGGAGATGATAAAACCACCCACTATAAACTAGGATTTATTCAACTCATGTATTGGCTGTTGAGAAGGTACTGTATTCGATAACATCGACAAGGAACACAATCGGCTCATTCAACATCTTTACGTTAACGCTGTGAAAGCTGCGGTCTCGAAAATCACCAAGAGACGTCTGTCTCCGGAAACAATCGAGCTGATACGCCAGTTTGGAATCATACGAGCAGTGGGCAACTACCAACTCACGTTCAAACTTGCAAAACAATGCAGACAAGCGGTAACAGAAGACCGTAAAGAGAGAAAAGCAGCAGTTATGGTCGAATCTGCGGAGGGTGGCGAAATCATTAGCAAAGCTTGTCGAAGCTTCGCCAATTAGAAAACCAAGATAATTGCACTCCAACGCCCAGACGGAATACTTACAGCGTCAGAAAGGCCATGGACGAAATCATTAACGACTGCTACTCAAATCAATTCAGTAGCCACGTCCTCCTTCCCTCATATGAAATAATGGAGGATGGATATGTTGTACCACCGGTTCTCCCTTCCGATATCCGGCATGCTATTTTGTCGGTGAAAATCGAACAGTACCAGGTCCGGACAGGATAAGGCCAGAACACCTGAAAAGTCTTCCGAGTTCTCCTAAGTACACTGGCACGGCTCTTCACACGTTACCTGTCCGAATGCGAGGTCCCTACTCAGTGGAACACCAGCAAGACCGTGCTGTTGTTCAGGAAGGGTGACCTCTATCGTCAACTATCGCCCAATTTGTTTGCTGTCTATCTTCTACAAACTTTTCACTTGAGTCATCCTAAACAGGATTGACAGAACACCGGACGAAGGGCAGCCATGTGAGCAAGCAGTGTCTTGTAAAGCATTTAGTATGATGAACCACATCAACACGATAGCAAGACTCATTGGTGTATCTCGAGAGTACAAGAGACCGCCCTATATCACTCTCATCGATTTAAAGAAGGTCTTTGACTCAACTGAGATAGAAACAGTCATGGAAGCCCTTGACAGCCAGGGAGTCACTATACAAAGATTTCGAAACCGGCCATCATTTAATCTCGGCACTATAAGAATCAACATTTGTTTATATTGTTAAGCTTACATGAGGTTGATATGAGATGTTTATTCGACTAACGTTTCGACGTTTTCATCTTCATCAGAGCCAACGACCCTAATCGATGGTCCACAATTGTTCCTCTTCTCGATGTGGCATCTTCGTCTCGCATTGAACCGGATCTTCTTCAGATGAGCGTCTCGAGTGAGCCATACTCACCTAGTGACGCTCTTTTATACAGGGCTCTTATTGTTAATATGATTATCCGTTGATAACAATTTGTCTTTCAACGGATAATCCACCCTGCAGCAGAGACGAAGACGCCACATCGAGAAGAGGAACAATTGTGGAACATCGAAGTGGATCGTCGGCTCTGATGAAGACGAAGACGTTAAAACGTTAGCCGAATAAACAACTCATATAAACCTCATGTAAGCTCAACAACATAAAAAAGTGTTGATCAGTATACAAAGGTTCTTCGTGAGCTGAACGACCTAGCTCCAGAGCTGAACAGAAGAAAACGAGCGGCTTGGGGAGCTTTCAAGAGCATCGACGATGTAGGGAAGAGAACAAAGAACACCCGACTCCGTGCCCACCTTTTCGACTCAGCGGTACTTCCTGCCCTAACGCATGCGTCAGAAACCTGGTCGCTGCGTAAACAGGTTGAAAAATCACTCAGCGTTATCGAACGCGCAGTCAAAAGGACGATGCTAAGAGTATCGCGCGTCACGTAACTAAGGGAAGGGATCCGAAGCTCCGATCTGCATCAACGATCAAAAATGAAGGATGCCATTCTATACTCCAAACTGTCGAAAATAAGGTGGGCATGACACGTAGTGCGTATGAACGATAACCGGTGGACAAGGCGCGTTAGTGACTGAATTCCTCGAGATCTCAAACGCACTGCAGGAAGACCACGGACCCGATGGTCAGAGTTCTTTACGAAAAGCCTTGTAGAAAGAAATGATGCTCAATGAGTCCCTAGAGCGAGCAGAACCTACTAGACTACTCTTGCACCCGACAGGGAAAAATTATAGACCCGCTCGAGTCAATCGACGATCAATGGGACTACAGGAGATACAGGTGGCCTATATTTAATGTTTTATTCGTTAGCTGTAGGTTTTCCTTTAGCTCTCATGTGAGATATATTTCCAAGTAAACTTTGACCAAAGAACGCGACCTCTAGATTTTCCAGACTTATGAAGACACTTCTTTTCACATCTGAAATCCATTTCTTTCCTTCTAGACATAACCCGTAGAATAACTATGGTACAAATTCTTCTTTACACTTAATTATGCGGAACTGCTAATTTTTTCTCCTGATAGTGTTACACTCCTGGCTGTAGCAGTAGCGGAAAGAGCTTGAAGCCTTCACATTGTTAGTAAAAGGCATGCTATTGTTTGTGCTTGTGTTATAATGACTTCATTTTACGATACAAAAGTCTGTCTAAGAGCTTACAGTTATGTTTAAGAAAAGCCACCTGGTCAGCATAGTTGTCTGGTCTCGCTTGTGTATAGCCCCATGGAGATAGTAGTAGTTGTCCATAGGAGTGAAGACTGATGTAGATCACGAGATTCGGAATTTGCCAGGTGACCAGGTCTCGTATCCCTACAATACTTAGTTAATTGACGAACTATCTATGCATAGAATCCCTTCATTAATTACTGAGGGAGGGCTACCATCGGTAGCTCCTGATTGATAGCCCTATTGTTGCCGAAATGTGAAACATCACACTTATGGAAAGTAAATCCACTTTTATGTAACTACCATTGAATACATTTGCTGAAACGAAAATTATACTTTATCGTTCTAATAATACTGTCCTTTCTTGCTTTACATTAATATTTTTGTTCCTACAACGTCTAGAACTATACACTATCAAGGCGTATTCCTCGTCGTTGTGTTCGATACAATGTAACGGGGTTCTTTCCCCAATTGTGTTACTAAAGCTGAAGCACGTCGCTTATGAATGCTTGAGCTAAAAATCAAGCTTTGCTAGACTACAAGCCATTTTGCTCTATTTTACAGTTCCTAGCTGTACAGTGAGAAAATCCTCTTAGATATAAATGCAGCTATAGTGACGATATCAGTCCTAAGAGCGCGTTAACCTCACCGTGCTCAGGTATCATTCTAAGGTATTTTGTAGAATAACAACTTTATAGTGCACATATAATCGGCTTTATTTTGTACTCTAGAGATTGACATGCACATACGGCGTCAGAAATTCAAATCTATGACATTGATGTATTCCAAAGTATTCAACCATGTAATATGAGTAGTATAGGAATAGTAACTTTAGAGAAAGAAATCTTTAGTGGTAGTACGAATTCTAACCATTCGAATACTCAGTAGCAAATAGAATAGCTCCTATCTAAATTTTCTAGCAACATATTAGTGCTTCTTTCTTGGTAAGCTCTACTCACCGACGATTTCCGGTTCGGAGAATGGCCGACTGCCTGCGTAGATGTTCGAGCAAGGCGAGCGATTCGCTCCAGCCTCCCCCCAACGGTGTCCCCAGTTACGATTTGCGTCCGCTCCAACACACCACTTATTTATTGTGATATTTCGTGAACGCGTCTTACGCCACAGTCGATCCTGATCGAATGAGGAATGATATTTTCGCCCAAAATCAAAGCCAGCATTTTGATGTAATGAGCATAGGGCAATGGTTAGAGAGGTCTTGCAATACAAACATAGTCTTTAGTTATTCCTTGCGCCGCTGGACTAGCCAAAACTTATTCCCTTAGTAGAATCAATGCAAAACCCATCCCTCTGGTCGAAGCCGGTCGTTTTTATGCATTGAGTAGCATAAAATAGCGTTGTTGCTATTACATTATCTCAGTAAAGTTGCTCTTAGCGAGTATATGACGTCATTCAGCTGCCACTCACGTCCTAGCTCAGGCTTTTGCTCTGTTATCATATAGGCATCAACATGCTATTATTATACTTAACTTTTTATCAATTATGCACTATTTTTTCACAACAGGGTATTATGTGAAATAAAACCACAGTGATGCCGAGGTAAATTGCAAGACTTAGGCTCCAAGCCAAATTCGAGATCGCGATTACCCTTTCTGGGGACTTACGTGTTACCCACTGCGCCACTGAGGCGCTTGCTTTGCCTTTCTCTCAGCGAGTTTTTTTTCCCATAATGTTATAGTCAGCAATCACTCGTCAATGGGAATGATCTGGGGAGCACAAACCGCCATTCTGGTTGTATTTCACAAAATAGCCCGCTGCGAAAAAAAGTAGTGCGAAGTAGATAAAAGTTGAACATTGTGATTTCAAATACAGCATCGGCCTAAGTGGATTCGATACTGATTTGGGTTCTCCAGATCACTGAAGTTGACGACTGATTGCTGATGGCACGTTAGCGAAGAGATCTGGCTGAGAGAAAGGTAGAGCATGGGCCTAAGTGGTGCGGTGTGTAACAGTTGAGCCCTAGGAAGGGATAATCGTGGGTTGGAATCTCGCCTGGGGTCCAGGTTTTCCAAATATTTCAGCGTTATTTTGGTATTATGACGCTTTCAGAGCAGATTTTTATTGTATTATCAGAAATTGGCCTACCGATACTCGACTGTACTCGTAACCGTCTGGATTTACTTGCGGAATGATGTACCAGTCGAATCTATTCAAGCTACTTGTGATTGCTGGATCTTTGCCATATTGGGATACAAGCTAAAAGGATTATATAGAAGTTGAATATATATATATATATATATATATATATATATATATGAAAATGATAGATTGAATATTATAGGTTTTCTTCGCTAAGATTGAGGCTTATCGATAGGAAAATCGAGTGAAGAGTTTAGTCAAGAAACATTTGGAGAATTACAACCTCAAGATTGCTGAGATATTTGCAAAACTCCGGACCACAGGTGCCTGCGCTGGGGAACGAACGTGCTATTGTCATTTCCGAGGGGTAACGCGTTCACCACCACACCATGCAGGTCCTTCGTTTCGCCTGTCTCTCAGCTAGCTTATCGATGCCTTCCATCGGCAAACACCCGTTACCGGGATTGATATGGGGAGCCCACATCAGCATTGAACCCAGTTAAGCTGAGGCTGTAGTTGAATTCACAATGTTGATGATTGCTGATGGCAGAGATCGATAGGACTAGCTGAGAGACAAGCGAAACGAAAGACGCGCATGGTGTGGTGGTGAACACGTTACTGCTCGGAAAGGACAATAGCGCGTTCATTCTCCACCGCAGACACCTGCGGTCCGGAGTTTTACAAACATCTCAGAAATATTGTGGTTTTATTTCGCTTAATACCCTGCCATAAAAAGTACGGAAGGCAGAAAATAAAAAGTAAACACTTGGAAAAGTGTTGGTCTACTTTTTTAATTTTTGCGATCTTTTCCATTCCCAGAATAGCTGGGTGAATAACGTCGGACAGAAATACTTGATGTAGTCAATGATGTCGAAGAGAAATGAAGACGTCTAGTACTTTCACTGCAACAATGATTTCTCGAAGAAAAACGTGGCGTGATAGTGTTTCACTTTGTCTTCAATAAAAAGAATAAAGCTTTCGGCGTTAATCAATCCCTGAAGGATGCGCCATGCATTCGACTTCACTAAGTATCGTTGGAGGTGAATGAATTCATATCTGGCCTTTACAATGACTCGCAGTGGCCTCCCGATATATCGAGCCAGTGCTGCTACTTTCCCACACAAGTCTGGTACCAATCTGTCGACTTCGGAAGGGGTGGAAGGGCTTACTGGGCCATAGGTGCAGGGATCGATTCCACGTGTGTCGCAGTTAGGTGCAGGGATCGATTCCACGTGTGTCGCAGTGGCGCCTCCAGCGCGCACCACAATAGCAAAATTTATCCTCAATAGCAAAATTTTTTTACAGGTCGAAATTATAAAAAATCCAGCTGATTACCAAAGAACGATTTTGAAAGCATCACAGCAGCAGACGAGAACACGCTAAACACACAATGACTTCTCGAAACTACGAAAGACCAGGGTAGCCGCCGTTCAGCAATTAGACGACCTCGATGTCCATTAGGGAAGATATCAAGTTTTTACGGAAGTTATTACCAGTGAAATTTCACAAGTGTCAAAAAACATCACATCAGTCGCAAGCTCAGCGATTCAACCACTAAGCTGCATGTAGTGTAACAGAAATAACAAAAAGCTCTGCGCTTCTAGGTGGTCTTTTGATGACCAGCGAAAGGAAAGCTGATGGAGCCATTTTTCCTCTTCATGGTCATTTTTCAAAAAAGAATTTGGACGGACGATTAATTAGAATCGCATGATCAGTCAGCGGGGTTGATCTGGGGAGCGCAAATCGGCATAGAACCCAGTTAAGCTATGGCTGTAGTCGAAATCACAATGTTTTAACGTTTTGTTTTCTGCCTTCTATAATTTTCATGGCAGGTTACTAAGCGAAATA